AATATACTAAACGTTAAATAAAATAATAATATACTATTTTGATCAATTTTACATTAAGTGCATTTCTTGTCCAATTTTTACTTTCATTTTGGTACATACTCGTATCTAATAAATGTATATAATATAATGTATACTATGTAAAACATTGACTAAACTTAACGCCAACTTTATCTGAGATTATAATAAGTGCCGTAAAATTCTTAGAATCTTTGTAAATCGTTTACAGCTATGCTAAATATCTTCCAAAATAAGTTGTTTTTAAATCTCAATTCTAATATAAAATTGAATTTTAACTTCTATAATATGACACTGTTTAAGATAACACTATTATACTATAAACTGTATAAGCTACACAAATAATTAAACTCGGAGTTGATAAAAAAAAAYCAAAAACCACAAACAATTTCTAAAAAAACATAACTTGATGCGAATAAGCAAAATTGTTTATTTAACCATATATAGTCTGTAATTAATTACAATCCTAGCAATCTGCAGCAGTATGGGAGTAAAATAAAAACACTTTGTATTGAAAACGTTCCAAGTTCATACCATCAAATGAAATGATAAGAAATAATAATAAATATTTTCTAAAACGTGTTTATCTATTGTTTTCGGAGGTGATATGGATATGCATATATTATAGTATTACAGTAATTAAACATTGATTATGCTGTACATAATAAAATACAAAATACATTTTATGAATATGCAATTTTATCTATTAAGGAATCTATAAAATGTGTCTTTTATAACTTTATATAATACTTCCTAATAGGCATAGATACTAAAAAAAAAAAACGAATCTATAAAACAAAAAACGTCCACACACTTGGAAATGTTTTTTTGTGATAGTTACAACTAAACAACTAAAATGTATACAATTGTTCAGTATTCAGTTCAAAGAGAATTTAATATCAAGATACATAAAGTTTACTCGTACCATAAAGCAAAACAACAAAACCTGCCGGAGTATCATCATCTTAAAAAGGTATATTTTATATACAGTTTTTATATTTAATACCTATCAACAATTAATATAATATATTCACAAAAAAATCYGCATCATATAATTACCTAATTTTTAGACTCAAGAATTTTATTATTCTAAAATATGTTTGTTTATTAAAATTCTACTTATATTTTAAAATTAATTCCCCTTTTTACAATTCAGCAAAACAAAACATTAAATAATTTTTAAAGTGAAACTTTTTTCAACTAAAAAAAAATTTCGAATAATATATATCATAGAAAAATATAAAACTCGGAGCTCATTATTTACTTGATTTCTAGTTTTTATACTTGCTTTACTCTGGTGGAATATTTTACTTCCATAAACTATTTATTTAGACAATATTTAAATAAATATATTTATTTTGTGTTTCATTTATTATATAGTTTGACAAATATATAATATTATTATATAGATACAAACACTGTACATAATATATACATTAAAATTTTAGATGTTTTAGACAGGTTCGGTTTATTTATTTAATTCATAATAAGTGTGCAATGGAGTCAATASTAAAAATACTCAAAATATTTAAACTTAAAACGTAATTTAGGAAGAATTCTAAAATCGGAAAAAGTACACCATGGTTCATGGGCGCTGAACTTTCAACGGCGGTCACCTATAACGAAGGATGTTTGAACTTTCAGCTTCAGTAGCATTCCGTCATTTGTGCCGAGAGTAGCGAGTCAGTTAACCATACGTTAAAAACCTAATAGCACAATTTGTTAAACGTTTTAGTTTAATGATCTTATAAATGTGATTATTTACAGAGTGATGAGTGGTACTACTATGTGTGAAATTAAAAACTTGGAGTATTAGAAAAATCAAATACCTCAAAAACGAACTGATTCGTATTTCAAATAACACTCAAGTCGAAAAAAATGTGTGCTCGTACATGGATAAAGGTACCGTTGTTATTATTAGTTTTTTTTTTTTT